GTGTGTGTGTGTGTGTGTGTGTGTGTGTGTGTGTGTGTGTGTGTGTGTGTGTGTCATTTAATTGGAATGATGCTGCTGTTTTGCAGTTTCAACACGAGGTGGCAGTGTGGCCTTTTCAGTTGGATCAAGAAATACTCTCATGCAGGCACATTGCATCTGGGAATCCTGTCCTGCAAATAAGCAGAAGGTCAATATTCGAATTAAATACTCTAAAGTAATTTCATGGAGCAGTAAGTTTCATCACAGGCAAAATGTTTTTTTCTTAAAATGCTTTGTTGTCACTAAGCACAAAACTTCTGTGTTTTTTAAATATTGCTACTTGATTGTTTTTAACATATGTACTGTAGGTCTCTAAAGTTAAGTAAGTTTTAAGTTGCAGCACTAAAATGACTTCCTTACAAACAGACCAAATAAACCAACAGTCTTGACACCACTTAGTCATTGATTGTCCTTTATAAATTTTACTGTAAAATATTAGACATTTATTTAAAAAAAAAGTTTTGTTAATTAGGATTGGTCTTTTTGTAGTACATTACAACATAAGTGCAGTTGCCAAAAAAGTGTTGTGTGCTCAAGTTCCATGTATTTTATTTAACTTAAATACATCTACATTTTTGCCAATTGGCTTCATCAAGACCAGTGTTTCTAATAGAAGAGGCAACTGTTTTACATTTGTTTTAAAATCCGAAATCAGGTCTGAGAATACAGCTTAACTGTGTTCCTGTTGCAAATAAAAAAAAAACAATGAGATTTGCTCCTTGTTGTATTAATTGACTAACCTAACATCTGTTAGCAGCAGAAGGCAACAGCACTTTTTTGTGTTTCATTAAMAACAACAACAAAAACAAACAAACAAACAATATGCTCTCTAGTAGCAATTAGTCTGTGATGTATGTTCATCGAAAATGAAAAAAGTGCCAACAAAAGCCTTATCAATGTTTTTGTGAAAGGTAACCATGTTTGAATATTACAGGTGGGTAAGGAGGTTGTCCTCCTATACAAGAGTCAACGGTTTGGTCTCAAGCCTCTGCATCGTGTTAGAGTGTCCCCACTGAATGTCCAGAATTCTGACTTCTAGTAACATTTCAGTTGATTGTTTTAATTTGCAAATTGATAGAAGCTCCATTATGATCTTACATTTGAACGTAAGCACAAAAATGTGTACAATAGGTTGCTGTCAAGCCTAGGCCGCCCTTGTAAAATAGATCTGCGATCTCGGTGGGATTTGCCTGGTTAAACAACGATAGGTAAGCAGATATTCATTTTAATTCCTGAAATAAGAATAAGAATAAGAATAATCAAAGTCTGGGCAGATAAATTTTCATTTTATCCTAATTGTCTGATTTAGCCATTATTTCAGTCTGGGATGAATTGTGCTGTTTTTTGTAAAGACCGGAACAGCATGCTGARAGATAGAAGAAAATAATGTGTGTTCATGATTTGACAGTAAATACAGTTATTGCATAACTGTTCCACGCATTGTACAGAATCATTTGGTGCCTACACCAATGTCCTTTGGCAGAAGAATCTGCATATAAAATGTGAGTCCAGTTTCCAGAAATATAAACTGTCAAAAATTTTTTTGTCATAATTTAATGATGAGACAGTCAGATTTCTGATTTCAGTCTTCACCACTTTCCAGAATTCTTGTTTGCTTGTATGTTTGGTAGTCAGGGATAAGGTGTTAAAACGTTTAGCCTGTATGAGGAAGTATTACAACCCACAGTCCTCAGTCTTAAATTTTTGTGTTTGACTGGAGCTGACGTCTGTCTCAGGTGACAAACATGACCATTGGAATTAAGTACTAAATTGCTTGTGGCCATGCAGACTGATAAGGCAGTCTGATTGTTTTTCGGTGTCCACATTAGTGCTAATCAGATCTAGAACAGGCTGGAACATGAACATTGTTATATGTACATAAACACAGACTTGGAGATTATTTTTCCAGTTAGCTTCCTTGTTAGCAGCTTTTTTTTTAGATTCAGCACCTTTGAATTAGTAGCTTATATTTGACTGAGTTCCTAAGTACAAACCTTGCATGGACATATGTTTCATTTTATTGATTAAACTGTTTATGAGCAACAATTTATTTATTTTTTATGTCTAACCAGGAAAAAAACACACAAAAACATTGTTTTTTAACCTAATTGTCTATGTTACATCAAGGCTAATCCACATTGTTGTACTTGTTTTTTTTTGAGACAGAGCACAAACGTGTTCGTGTTTGCACTATTGACGCTGGACTCTAACCCTCCACGTTGGAGGCTYGCTCAGCCCAYAGGGGATAAGAGAGACATGACTTAMKYTTACAACAAAGAGATATTGCACAACATTTGTGTTTTTGTGGCTAAGATAATTCTAAGATGTTAAAAGTGGTGTCAAAATWAATGTGTTTAAACAAAAAGTAAACATTTTTTTACTGAAACCTCTTAGAAAGGATATTTGCCGATGTAAGTTTTTTTTTCCCTCTCAGTCATGTTGGTCCAGGAGGTTTTCTTTCAGCTCTTGTTTGATTTTAGTGATAACACAGTTTAGCTGCACTTTCATGACAAGCATTGACAGGAACAATGATGTGCCTCTGGAGAAACTCTGAGACGAAACTGTGACAGAAGCCAAGGCGTGTTGAGACACGGGAGATAAAGTCAAATTACCGGTTGCCTCCTGGAGAAAACACACATCTCAGAGTAACCATGGCTTGAGACTAATTATTATCTGTGATGTGTGATTTCAGACGGGTAAACAGGCCATTTGCTCTAAATGGTTGTGAAGACAAATGTCTGAAAAAGCTTCTTCTTTCCCTGTAATTTTGCAAAGAGTTGAACGAAAACAAAACCTGACAAGTTTGTACATTTTTAGTTTCATCTTTATTTTTTATAACTTACAGAAATTACAAAACAAAATGCCCATTTTCTTTTACAATACAGTAAAAACAATATTTAAATACATGCTTGACAAGTGCAAGATTTGCTTTATATTTTTCTACTTAGCAATAAATATTGAGTTGTTCTTATTCACACAGTTTGATTCAATACAGTCTAAGAGTGATTTGTTTCCATGTATCACACAGAGGTAGACCGACAAGGTCAGGCCAGTGTTAAATTATGTCTAAAGATGTGGAGGTTGTCTTAGTTGGCATCGATAAATGACTGATAGAGAGACATAAGCTGGGCCTGGAGGTCTTGAGCATAGGGGTCAAGCTTCTCTCTCAGGTCCTCGGCATAGGGAGCCACCATTTGTTTCACCAGACTGGCTCGCTGACTCAGCTCCACTTGGACCTTCTCGGTCACGGGGGCTACGCTTTTCTGGAAATTCTCCAGGTGCTGGTCCACCTTCTGCTTCAGGTCATCTGTGTATGGCCCCAGCTGGGCTTGCAGGTCCTTCACACTCTGCTCCAGGCTGGTCTTCAGCTCCTCGCTCTTCTGCATCAAGGTGGACCTCAAGGCCTCTGAATCCAGAGTGTCGGCGTAGGGGGCCAGCTCCTGTTTGAGCTGCTCCACTCTCTGCTGGATCTGGGCCTTCATGTTCTCAGTGTAGGGTTCCAGCTTGTCCCTGACAGAGCTCAGCTCCTGGGTGAGTGTGCTTTTCAACGTGTCGGCCTCTGTGGTGATCTTGTCCATGAGGTCCTGAGCTGCAGGGGGGATCTGCTCCTGCAGGGTAACTGCATACTTGCTGGCCAAGTCAGCACTTTCTGTAAGACGAGAACTGGAAGACAGAAGAAGTGTCAAAGGGAAAATCCAGTAAAATTCTGCAATACCTTGCAAATCATGGGACATGTGTCCCATAAAGTGTGTAACAGGACATACTTGATTTCCTGTCCAATTGGTGACTTCCTGATCATCTGCAGGGTATCATCAGCTGTCTGTGTTGCCTTGGCGATGTAGTCCCAGAAAGCATCAGTCAGAACTTCCAGCTGTGGCTTGGGTGCATCAGCATAAAAGAGGTTGGCATTGCAGCCTGTAAAAAAAATGAACATTACAGGAGGGACAGTTTTGCAGTTTGTTCATTTCTATTGCCACATTCATTTCAACTTTTATTTTGAAAAGCTTACCAGAGAGTACTACAACAGCTAATACCACAAACACCTTCATGATTGGTAGCTCCTGAAAGACAGTAGCAGACAAATTCAGTTTATATCTGTCAGCAAAGTCAAACATAGATTTAGTTCTAAAAAGTCAATTTTCAAATGCCGTCTCACCTGCTTTGGGCTTGTGTTTCTTTCAGACTGTACTGTGGTAGTGACTGTGTGAAACGGCTTCTTCCGTCTATATATAGTGAAGTCAGATGACAGTTGTAGCTGAGAGCCCAAAGTCCAGGAGTCCCTGCCATGCTGTCACAGCAGCTCTTTTTTTCCCTCTCACATCTGCCGTTGCTCTGTGGTTTATCACAAAGCTGTTTCATTTCAGAACCACCCAAATAAAGCGTCTTACTTCCTAATAAATGTACCATCACTTCTCCTTTGACAACCCCCATCCCCCCCGCACGTAGTCTAGCCCTGCCAGTCTCCAGATTATTTAAGATAACCCTGTATGCCTGCACTGCTGGACTTTGTCTTGAGGTCAAGAATGAGGCATGGAATCCTACAGACTGTTTGTGCTTAAATRAAAATAGTTTGCATTGAAGTCAAATGTTTTAGCTGTAATTAAACTTTGTAATTTTGTTGTCATTGTTTTACTCTTTGTCATTTTTTCTCCAATAAAACAAGACTGAAACAGGATTGAGTTGTTCTTTAGAACAGTGTTTAGACTTGTGTACCCTGTGAGCCATTTTGTCATACCACTACGACCCCTTCAGTCAAACCTAATGATGATTTTCCAAAACTGTAATGTACTGATTAATAAATGAAAATTATTTATTTAATCCCGTAGAACATTTAATTCTCAGGCATTTTTTAAAACTCAAATTAAACAAAGATAAAAATGTTGCCTTGAAAGTGAATAAGTAATTAAATAAGTAAACCAGGTAATGGCAGGTGCAGAAAACAGCAGTGTCCAAAATACATTGTATTGTCAAAAATACGTCAGAAACTCACCCAAATGAGCAAATTCTGAGATTCCACGTTTTATACTGGATTCCATTTTGTGTTAATGCCGTGATTCTGTCTGCAATTTCTGCATTGCCAGGGACGCTAAATCAACTAGGTAAAATTAGAGACTTTAAAATATGTCATTGAAATTTGAGAAGTCTTTTACCTAAACTGGATGAATTCAAAGTAATACTTGCTCAGACACGAGCACATGTTATGGTTGTATC